GGTTCTTTCAAGACGCCCCAGACCCATTTTGTGGTGCTTTCCCCATATCCCTATGATGTGGGGATGTTGATCCTATTTACAGATCTGCACTAGGTCGTGGCTATCAGGAGTTTCGGTTTATTTCATATGGTTTTCCCAACATCACATATAAGAACTTTGCATCTGACATCGCAGGCATAAAGGAGGTCTTCACTCTAAAGCAGGATGTGCATCAGAATCACTTGCAGGGCTTGTTAAACACAGGATGCCGGGCCCACCCCTGTTTCCTATTCAGTCTGTATAGGACAGAGCTCGCGTCAGTATTCCTAATAAGCTCCAAGGGGACGCTGATGGTGGTCCAGGGACGACACTTTGAAAACCACAGGTCTAGAAAAGCAGTTTGAATTAAAAATATTTCCAGGTTCAAATGGGTGGGTGTTAAGGCTTATCTATTAATTAGTTAGGCAAAGATCTAAAAAGGTTTTTCTAAAATAGCTTACCCACCCAAATATCCCTGTGATTGATTATTGGCCCCTGGGGAAAAGCAAGGCCTAATTTTGAACACTGCACCAGAAAACAGAACCTTTCTGTCTTTATTCAAATCAATGAAGCCTCTTATTTTATTCTAGTAAACTCTGCAAATAAAGGTCAGATGGGCTGTAGCTGGTTTGGCTCATTGGTTGGTGCATGGGCAAGGGCAGGTACCTCAGTTGCAGGCTCCATCCCCTGCCCTGGGTGCCTGCAGGAGGCAACCAATCAATGTGTCCCTCTCACATCCATGTTTCTCCCTCTCTGTTTCTCCCCCTCACTCCCACTCTCTCTAAAAATCAATGGAAAAAATACCATTGGGTGAGGATTAAAAAACAAAAGGAAAGAAAAATCAGATGTAATCATTGAAGTCTGCCTGCCTCAGTTGAACAGTAAGTCAAGGTACTTAGACCCAGCAATGTCAGAATCCTCCAGACAAAGGAGGAGGTGATTACAGCAGGTGGGAAAAGAAATTCCTTCATTGGTTATAAAATCTTTTGAGGGTAGAACAGAAAGAAGCCAAAGAAAGGGGGCTGCAGTCTCACAGTCTCAGTGTATACAAATAATGATCCTTAGATACAAATAGGTAAGGCAGAATCATGGTGGGTGGGAGAGAAAAGAGAGAAACAGAGGGAGAGATACGGATGGGGGGCAGCAGGAGGAAAGAGGGAGAGAGAAGGACAGGTGAACAAAGAAAGATAAAGAAGAGGGAGG